CTCTCACCTCAGATGCCCAACTCGTCGCTTCCCATCGGGGTTCCACTCGAGGGGCTGGCTTGACGTGTAATCTTCCCAGTCGGTCTTCTCGGTGTATGCCCATTCCAATCCATCTCCACTTCCTTCTGCATATTTGTTCAGCGATAGGTTCTTGCTTCGTTGGTTCGTTGCCAGTCAGCCAGAGTTCCTTGTTGCTTATTCTCATTATTCTGGCCATCTGATCGATCTTCAGTAACGAGCCAGTGCAGGCAGTTGTTGATGAATGTCTGCAGTTTGTTGGAAATGTCTTTCGTAACGTGCCAAGTCTCTGAACCATCACATAGAAGCACTGACTTGATGTTGGTGTCGAAAATCCGGATCTTATTCAAGCTTTATGCTGAGTGCTTTGCAGAAGATCTCCACACTGGTTCCAGGCTAATGAACGCCTGTCTTGCTATGTCTCCTATCCTGGCTTGGACGTCCTGGTCTGTGCCGCCTGTGGTTGAAACAGTGCTTCCTAGATAGGTGAAGGAGGCTACTTCCTTTAATTTTCTCCTGTGGATGGTAATTGGAGCTTGTTGTTTGTTGGGTATCTTCATCAACTCTGTCTTCTCTACATACACTTGAAGTCCCGTTTTCGCTGGTCCACTTGTTAGTTTTCGCCTGCAGATCTTCGAGTTTGTGTGATATCAGACACAAGTCATCACTGGCGAAATCCAAGTCTTCTAGGTTCTTTTTCGCTATCCCGCGAGCGCATCCCCCTCTTCTCGCTCCCTACTGTTGGTTGCATGATCCAGTCGACCGCAATCAAGAATATCATGGGTGATAGTAGGTGGCAGCCTTGTTTCACTCCTATCTTCACTTCAAATGCATCACTGAGCTTCCTATTGTGAATTACTTGGTATGTGGCGTCTTCATATAGTTGTTGAATGAGATTGATAAAGATTTGCAGTATTCCGTAGTATTGAAGCAACTGCCAAATTACTTGTCGGTCGACGCTGTCAAAAGCCTTTTCAAAGTCGATGAAGTTGAGGTAGAGGGTTTAATCTGCACTTTACTAATAGATATTAACAGCACTGAGATTTCCTTTATGCTTAGCATTTTGACTTCACACTACATACCTGATATAACTAACAAAATGTATTTAAAGCCTACAGAACTAGTAGATTTAATAAATCATAAAACGTATTTTGGTAAATGATATATCTCCATCGATATCAAGGTTCCTCAGTATGTTCATAGTAGCTTAAATTACAGTTGTAATCTTCTTAGACCATTAAAAAATTATTGTGGCCTTTACTTTTAAGCAGTGGATATGAAAGCATGGTACGAAGTCATTGCTGAATACTATAAGATATGGAGCCAACTTATTGTGCATGTGAAAATGAGAAACGTAAACTGAATCTTGTGTTGTTGACTGCATATTAGGTGCAGACTCACTTTCCAAATATTCACTTAAAAGTGTTTTTTTTTCTTACGACAGACGTAAATTAAATCTTTACCATCTGAAAGGTGTTTTAAAAACCTACCCTCTTATTACAATTGTTATACACGTCACTATGAGAACGTGCAGTAGAATGACAAACTTGAGAAAATGTTCAAGCAAAAAATCGCTCCCGTGAAAATACGTGCAGAATCAATTTCGAATTTAATGCTAAACAGGATATATGAACTAACTTTGAACATGTTTTTAGTCTCAACTAAATTTTACTATGACATAATACTGCAAAAGATTTTCTTAAATTATGTCCACATTTAAAATGTAAGGAGTAATTAACTTAAAATTTCACTCATGTACAGCAAGAAGATTTTCTGTTCGTACGGTATCTATAAACTTGTGGATTCACCATCAGAGTACATATTTTACACTTATAAAATGAAATTATCAACCAACATAGAGTTTCATTCTAAAATGTCTTCTGTAGTAAAAAATCTGTTTGTTTTACTTTATGAACAAAGGGTAGACTTTAGTTTAGAGAGTCATTGCTTTCGTAAATGCCTACGTATCAAGAAAGGGTGATTTATATAGGTTTTAGCTGAGAATCCTTTAGCTCACAACGCAATGTCTATACTTCTTTGTTAAACTACAAAATTTCTATTTTTTTGATGTTGTATATGGTTATTTTGTTATATGTGTGTTAAAATTAATTTTTTTGCTTCATTTTAGGACAAATTTCCTATTATAAAACACATTTTTCCATCTGGTTGTATGGTAAATGTAATAGTCAGATTCACATTAGCAAAACATTGTTACTTAAAGCTGTGATGATTACAATATCAGTGTTTGTTGAATGGTTCTTCTTCTATACTAAACAGAATTTTTGAATTCATCAGCTACATTATTGTGTGACTGAAATATAGAATGACGACAGCCCATGTACTTTTCTTCTATTTTTGGAGTTAATTCAGTATCATTCATGCGATAACTCTCTACGTAGTTATTGTAAGCTTTAAATACAGCCAAAGTTACATCAACGAGATGAAAGACACTATATATATCCATTCATCAACATATGACATATAGTATGCATTTCAAAGGCCTCAACCAAAGAATGTAACTATTGATTTTTTATTCTACCCGATGTAAAATATTAATCTATGATCATTACGAATATATATGGTTAAAAATTTAGAAGATAATTCGACAACCTTATTTAGGTTCTTTTCGAATAATTCATACTTATATATATATATCTATATAGTAGTTCGAATAAGTCATCAGAGAACAACATATAAAACAAAATAAAACTCTTTACAACCATTTTAGATCTATCTATTTACAACAACATTACCTCACCTTCTGTATGCATAACTGTATACTTATATTAGAAGAAAAATGAACTGTTCTTACTAATTTAAGACTATGGACTGATTTTTAAGCTAAGGAGATATTGAACTTTTGTAGTTAATGATTTATTTTTTTTATCGTGAAGCAGTATGAAACATGTACATTTTATCTAGTATGTGAAACTAAACCTGTTACAGTGATAAAATTGATTTCACTGATCGAATTCTCCATGGAAACGCAAGTCTTTGTAATATATAAAAATTCACTGAATTCGCTAATGTAAACATCCCAACCTATTTCGTGAACACGGAATCCAGTGTTAAGTAAACTTTGGTGTTATAAATGTTACCCAAGTTTACAGTCTTTGTATTAGAATAGGTTACGCTTCATTCATCCACTCTTTTTGTTCATCAAGCTTTGTAATAAACACAGTGATCATTGTCGAAATTCAACGGAGGAATGTCTCATTTCAATTATGGTTTATTTATCAGACAGTTCATAGTTGTACTAATACTGCAGTGTTTGTTATCTTTTACACCTTATTGACAGCTATCAGAAATCAGTATTCGAAAGAAGAAGAATGTGTGGAATTTCTCTGCAGATTATTATAAGGTTTATCCAATAAAACTGAGTTTTATGGAGACTCCAGTATAACAGAATCATCTATAGAACATGCAAACAGATTCTCAATGAGCACTGATGACTATCTTGGTATTTGTGATATTCACAAACTTAATACGAAGTAGTCGTCAAAACGACAAGTAATTGTTTATGCCAATTTTAAATTACAACTTTAATAGCAATTATGCATTGTTAACACTTTGCATTAAAGTATTCTTCATAAAAATACTTTAGGATAAACAGACTAGATGCTCAAAGTTTTTTGTTTTGTATTCATTAGTGAGCAGATAAACTTAAATGTTAGATTTTGATACTGTTTTAGTAAATGGCAAGATAGATAAACCAGATATTATTATAAAATTGAATATGAAACCTAGATCATACCTAACGTTAGGTTTTCAGCTCGTTATGTATGACTTCCTGCAACAAAAAAAATAAAAACTATATTCTAATCATTCCAAGCAGCCTCAATATTTGGTGGGTTATTTAAAGAGAAATCTATGTCAGCTGTTGGTCATCAGAACACAGTCATCTACATATCTATTATATCAACTTGGTATGATCATGAGCAACAAATTCTACTCAAAACGTTATCCAGTAAATAATCCTGTCTAACTGTGTGCTACATTTAATAAAATTATTTAATGGAATCATTAAATCAGTTTTACCCATCTACTGAACTAATGCGAACCTGAAGAGAAATCTACCAAGTCATAATTTCTCAAGGTAATAAGTATGAGTTGAACTACTTCGCAAAGTGATGAATAAATATCACATTGTTAGGTCTTAAGAGGTAAATAATTTTACTATGGGCTGATCATTGTGAGATTCTATTTGATAGTTGATGGTTAAAGATAAAATAACCACACAATATACATTAGGTTTACAAATTTCTGTTTGTTTATTTATTTTGCGAGTAAAAGTTGTTTAGTTGCCTACATCTCACTTTTGTCAAACGTACATGAAAGTTTGCATAGGTATTACCAATTTAATAAAAGATCATGTGAGATCAAAGCAAGATCTCAAAATGCAAAGTCAAACTTACAAAACTAGATGAAACCTTAGACAGAAATTTATCCCTAATTTTTAAAGTAACCAAAACGTTTAGACTGACTGAAGTAATGAGCTTAACATTTACAGGGAATAGTAAAATGATAGCTAAGCGTAAACTGAAAAAAATCAACAACTGCTGTTACATACAGCTCGTAATTCAGAATGTATCCTTCAGACACTTGTCTCTGCTCTAGGTACTTTCTGTTCGTTTAGGAATTTGACTAGAATTAGTTAATTTTAACAAATGAAGTTTAATCATTGTATAGAAGTTGGAGATGAATCCTGCTCTAAACTATTCAAGCCATCATTTAGTCTTTTAAGACACTTCTTTTCACATGTTTGTTTAAGTGCTTGTTAGCATGGAAATTGGATACTTGGGTACAGTCTTCAGAAAATTACTTGTATATATTTTTCAACAGGGGCCACGCTAACATGTATGATGCGAAAATGTTTAATAATTCATTCATAAATTAAATCTACCTGTATGCATTGCCATTTTTTACCAGCTGATAAATAAACATCCATAATAACTCAAATACAACGATATAAAATAACTTACTGTATTTAGTCTGTGCTGTAATTGGTTAACATTCTCTGAAGCCTAAGAATTCCATTTTGTTTTTATAAAAGAAAAGAAAACATTAAAAAATTTTAATAAAACTGATAAGATCACTTTACACATGTATACATATATAAAATTTTCCTTCGATAAGAAGTGTATTTCTTTATATCTGAAATAGTTAACTGATACTTTTATTAAAAACCGTTTCTTAACTGTCACTTCTTGACTGGACATTTAAGAAAACAGATATAAAACAGCATTAACAATGTGACAACCTCCTGATTTCTTAACACATTTGTGTGCGTTTGTATAATGCAGTGCATAATTCGGTGTATGAAGAATAACAATTGGGTTATTGATAGAGAATTATCTGAGTCATTTACCATAATTTCTATGTTTGCCATGTTTTGGTGACACTGAGTAGGCAATGGTACAGTCGAAGTTACTATCACAGCATGCTTAAACATTAGAAGACATTTTGTTATCTACTAATTCTAGTTGTGTTAATGTCAGTGTACTATAATCTTTATTGAGAAGGATTAAGTTGTAGAACTAAGTTAATGAAATGTTATACAAAGGTGGGATTCAATGCTTTTATTCTGCTATTCTTTATATCTCCTCTTGGCATTCAGTCTATATCGAGAGCCATGAATACAATGATTCAACCGTAAATCTTAGATCTTAGGTCCTTTATCATTCATTAGCTAATAACTGTTCCATAAAATTTATTCCAGCAAATAATTGAAAATTAGTTTTTTTAAATGATTTCTTACCTTACTTGCTGAAACTGTATCTTGATCTAATTCCGCTTGTTGCAATTGAGTGGTATGCCATTCTATATGCTCTCTAAAAGAAAATAATATTACACAGAGATATATAAACATGGCGGGGAGTATTTGTAGTTACTACTTCAGTGATCTGACGATTAATCTATGATTTGCATGAGTTTAATCTGTATTGAAGCAATGGCAAAATTACATTGTTTCATAATTTGGGGTTTATATTTGCATTCTGTTTAACTGACACTTCAGGTTGGGGTCAAGAACCAGTAAGGCTTTTAGATATACTGATCTAACAAGTGTGAGTACAATGTGTGGATTATCATATACATATATATGTTCTGAAATTAGTTGAACCGAACTTTCACTAGCATAAAATTGTTTTGATCAATACCTTAATAGCAAGAATCATTTGCAAGCCTTTTCCATCACTTTATGTGGACATGTCTGAAGTATACCTCGAGTTAGTTAATTACTTTTCAATAATATAGTCTTCAACTTGAGTGACGCCTGAGTTCACTCAATTTTCATATTCATCAGGTAAACCAGGTAAGAAATTATTGATAAGTATAATTAAAGGTATACGACATGCGATATTCCCATTAATGAGATATCTCAAAAGTATTTTTTTAGCTTCATTAGTAAGAAACATTTGAGAGGAATAATAATGCTCAATATTATAGACTTTCATATTAAGAAATTCACTATCAAATGAAAATCTGGTCGCATTTTGACTTAAATTTCACGTTAACCTTTCAAGAATTTCGACTTACTTAAGGATCATTTTACAACCTCAATGTTAGAAAAATCTGAATATAAACCGATAAAGAAACTCTACACGATGACTATGTCACATAATCCTATTCTAAATGAATCGTTCACTAAAACTGATTATACGGTATGCATAATTAATTTATTTATTACTGTGTCAATTTACACTCTCCAAGACAAATGATTTAAGGAAATGTGCTCACTGTCAATTTTTGTACACTCTTTCGTACAAACTTTAAAAATGACGGGAAGATTGGATCCTCTTTACAAAAGATGTAACAGTTTTTCCTAAGAGCAATTTTTCAAGTTACTCGCAGTGTATATCGCATATCGTCACTACCGCAATATTTTATCTACTTTCTTATTTCCTGACTTGATTACCGAAATGGTATTTTGTTTATTTTGTTTGCTTCTTATAAACTTATTGAACCAACCGGTAAAACGGGCGGTCACAGATAAACTTGCATTTCTATTGATTTTCCTAAACAGAAGTTGCATACGTCTCGTAAATCTTCGAGGTGTATTTGTCAGTAAGCAATTTATATCATTTTGAAACAACGAATATTCAAAAGTAAACTAAACAGTAGGATATAAGTGTGAACTTTTGTTGCAATCCATCTGTGAATATATATTCTCCACAAAAATAACTGTTGACAACGTGATACAACAGTGATACTACTTCTTCAGCTTTCTCAAATTCCTTTGAAATTTCTTCGTGTCAACTGTATATTGAGGCGTCTTGAATGTTAACAGATGGTAATAAGAGCATATCCAACGTACATAATATAGTCGTATATTTAGAAATTGAGTTAGAATCAGACCATGAAAACTTTTGAGTAGTGGTGTCAGTTTACAGTCCAAGGTGAGATTTTGGTTATTTTGCACTTCATCCTTTTCATCTGTATAGCATTACTTCATCACGTCCCGGACCGAAATCCATGATGGAATTTCACAATGTTTACTAGACATGCTAAATATTTTTTTAGAAATTTGATATGAGTCGTATTATAGACTTATTGTGAAAAGTCGCTGATAATTTTTAGAGTATGAATTAGTGAGGTATGTAAAGAAGCCAGCAATAGCACGTGAACTGAATAGATTTCAGAAAGATATTTTGACTCAGTTCACGCGGGAACTGATGCCAGATTTGATCCCGTAAATTGTCTTATCCATGTAAAAGCAATCTACAAAGCAGCAAAAGGCCACTATACATCTGCAATATGCTTCTGATTGTTTCAATAAAAACTCAATTTTCGTGGAGCTTTTTTTACAAGTTACTTATTAAAGTAAGCAAATGCTTAGATGGCTTGACATGTAAAAAGCTAGATTATCACATGATTACTGCATATTTTGTTTTTCATCTAGTTAGATCCAAGTTTCAATTTTGATCATTTTGACTGCTACAGTTTGATAAATCATAACTCCTAAATCTGCTTGAAAGATGCTTTTCAGATGCCGTTTTTTAAATGTGAGCCATGACAAAACTATGAAGAGAAAATGGCGTTGCTGACCAATGAAGCTTACATCTATAACGCTGTCAATGAATTTATGAATAGCATTTTATTTTTCAGCATTCAAGTATTTTGTAGACTATATAACTTAGCGATTTACTTGGCGTTAATAATTTCCAGAAATATCTTATAGTGAAACTTTCATTTAAACCAACATACTCAATGATTCATTTATATTCAATTTAAAGTTTGTAAAATCTATACTAGTGATTTCATGACTTACGACTGCAACTTGACCTTATGGTTTTGCAAATATTGGGTGCTGACATTTGATATATTTTGCATTTTTGTAAGTCACAGTATATTTGAAATGAAATAATTTCAGCATTTTACATGGAATTCTTGTATATGCTTCTTCAAGGGAAAAAAACGCTGACTTACACGAATACAAATTATGTACCTACCTTTTATTCAGTGGTTGTAGACAACTATCCTTTACCAGTAGGACATGTTACCCGGAAACTAAAACTAATAACTATGGGAAATGTTTCGTAGCTTTCTACTGTATCTTCATGAATACCAATGGACTCCTGTAATGATGTTTTAGATCATAAGAGTGAGGATTTCATGCAGACTGTAAATTGCAGTTTTAAACAGTAATACAGTACTTGCATGGATACTAACTTAAAGGAAATTTACTGTCCACCTTATTTATTTTTCTTTGCAGAATATCTGAGAAAGCCATGGCTTAGCATATTATTTATACGAGATTATGACTGAAAGTGAAATATAAACCTGGATTATGACAGCGTAGGAAGCAACGACATTCGGATTACCGGCCTAGTGCCTTACCTGCTAAGTTCCAAATACCGTCATGATCCCAGTTTTCCACTTTATCTTTGGTCATCGTCTTGTGTCAGTGTATTTCTGTTTGTGATAAATATTTTAGTCGAGGGTTACACATGATCTACGTAGAGGTGAGTATTTGAGTCTGAGAAAATTAAACTACTTTATTGCTGACTGTGTAGTAGAACCATCAGAACAACTTCATTAGTCAATCTGATTCAAAGATACTTTTATCTTGAAAAACGTCGATAGTGAATTTCAATTAATGTACAAAAATATAACATTGGCTTATCACTACACGCAATTAACTAAGACTTCGAGTACAATTACTGTTAATGCGACCTACTTAAGTACCTTAAATATAAGTTGTTGATTCAAACTTATGCAATGAATTCATTAGAAAAACCACTTTATTCATGACGTTATGAAATTTGTTTTTCTGCTTGGAGTTTGATTCTTCTAATCATAGTCAAACAATACGGTGATGTAATTGTATTGATTCTACATATTCTTGAACAAAGTTTTGAAATAATAGTATAACTTTCCCAACACATTTCAAACGTAGATGAAAGTCATTACATTTCTTTCACTGTTGGTTTAAAAAGAAGAATGTGCCTTTTAGTTGGAATGCAGTTTTGTATCTTATTATGCAAGGTAAATTGAAGTCAAAATGCATTATCCTCTAAAACCCATCTTTCCCCTTACTTTCATATGAAACTTGGAATAGATGCAGCTGAACTGCGTACCTGTACGAACTATTATTTATGATTAAGTATATGTATTTTCTAAATAAATCTTAGTATTTTAGGGATTTAATAAACTTTATGATACACTTTTTCATGTAAGACTAATGACTCATACTTTTTATCTCTATTTAAGCTATGAAGGAATTAGCTGATCACTAATTTGATGTTTGACGTGATGTGAATATGTCAGAACATTTCAGAATAAGTTAAAAGGATTGATTTTATTCTGTTCCAGCCAGATAAATGAAAGTAAACCTACACATAATCACGTCTTATACTGAGAATCAAACTTTTTAAAACCTTATATGAAATTTTCTTCCATATTGCTCAGGCTTGAGAAACGTGCCGGTGTACTGACGTAAATCTAAAAATTTAATTCTCTACATGTAGAAGATTTGGATCACAGTTAAATTCTCAACATCTTTTTCTGTTTTCAGAATATTCACTGATTTTTCAGAAAAATGAATAGTTTTACGAGCTAAATTCGCCGATTCGCTGATACTTTTCTGACAGTTTTATAACTTTACGTAGTATTTACACTGACTTTAAGCATTTTTAAAAAGTAATTTTCCTCTAATATTTTCAAGATATTCTTGTCTTACAGCCACGATTAATTTCAAATTCTACTCTGTTTTCCCGCCAACTTCTTTTGTATTCAAGTAGTGGGTAACTCAGTTTCAATTTAGATGCCTAACTATTTTGGTCGTCACTAACTAGCAATATTATATTTTACTGTCAGATGTAAAGACATTTTGAAAGAAACCTCATTTCAGCAATAATATTTGTAGAAGTTTCTCTTTCTTTGAGTCATTCTACCATGTCACACCCTTTGATTTTGAAACTACTGAAGGTTGTAGGAAGTTAACGTGAACTTCATAGAACACGAAAACCTTGTGTTCTTCCTATATGTCACTTATTTTTTCACATAAATCTCTTGCTTCCCTAACTTTAAACAAGATCAGCGATCCGTTTCTGTTATTTTTAAGATGACAATCTATAGTTTAGCTGTGATTTTACACCATCTATTTAGACATAATACGGACAACGACGTTTTCTTCTGTTATTAAGATCTTGAATGGAATAAGTGGGGATAACCATCTTTTGATTTTTCCTTTTCCGTTACTCTATTTCTCACCTTCTGACTCCATTACATGATTTTTCAGTTTATTTATAAAGTGTTCAGTGTAGTTAGGACGGCTGTTTTACAAACTGTGATAAGCTTGTTGGTGTGTGACATGAAAACAATAGCCATTTCATAAACTTTCGTATAATTTAGTCAGTTTCCCTACACAACGTTAAGAAAACATGATAAACTCAGCATCTCAGTTGAAAGAAAGGAATTTGTGTTATTCTGTTTCAACAATTAGTATGAATTTTATGTGGTCTTGGCTAGCAGTAATATACAAGATGCATGTTTAATATCATTTGAGACTCATCAGCTGGACGTATCTGCAACCCTGTGAGTCATGGTGTTCTCACTAAGACTTGAACCCTTCAAACATCGCTTCCAATGCCTAAAAGTTTTCCAGTAGGCTGCTGATGCATGACAGCCACTTCTTTTGCAATGAGTATCAGTTATTGTTACCTGCTGACACTTATAATACCCTTTGTGGCCCAGTGGGTAACGCTCCGGCATTGGAAGCGATGGGTATGGGGTTTGAGTTTCAGTGAGAACACCATCGCTCAGTTGGGTATGGGTACATCCAGCTGACGAGTCCCAAATAAAATGTATCGCGCATTCTGAACTCCACTACTAACCACCACCAAGTAAATTATAACATAATGAATGGTCAGGCAACATCGAGGCATTTTCATAGAAGCCTTTATGCCAGCAGATGTGGATCGACTCAATCCAGCATAATAACAGGAAAATGCAAATATCAATAAATAATAGCTACCGTGAGCTCCAAGTACTCATAATTACGTACGTGTTTAAAACATCATTCAAGTAAGAGGCTTAAGAAAGTGTTTAGTGAACTATTTAACAGATGAATACTATCCATAAAATAAGAAATTCCAATCCAGTAAACAATCTTCTTCACCAAAAATCGATTTTGAATATGATAAATAACCCTGATAACAACTTATTAATGGTCATATAAGTTCATAAAACAGCATGATTATAGTACAATAGCAAAATGAAGACTGAGAAAGTTCGTTAGTGTTTCCGTACATGCGAGTGTATTCTGATATCTAGTTGTTGCAAATAGGAATGATTCCTTAATATGACTGCATTAATATCTCAGTGTCTTAAAATATTTCTGATGAATGTCGGAAAATACATCAAATAATTTTTCAAAAAGTCTTTAGTTAATTTTGTAACCAAAGACGATATCGTAAGAAAATGACAATCAATTGTAAAAATGAAATTGTATAATTCAGTGCTTTACTGTTTAGAAATATTATTCCTATATTTGCTCCATCTAAGTGTTAAACTATTTGCAGAAAAAACGATAACCTGGTATCATTGAATCTTCAAAGGATATGTTGCATTGGAAACTACTTTTAATTTGATTTTACAAATCATCTTCAGACTGGTTAACACGCTTTTGGGCAAATGTAATGAAAATGATGTTGTATACAAGTATCGAAAGGAGTTTTGATTTTAACTCTTCTTATTAATTCTGAAATGATATCTTAGTGTTCAAATTGAGGAGATTGTGTGCAATATATTTTTATCATTATTATCTGCTTGCATTGTCTAACTCAAACATATACGGAAATGATAAGTACTTCAAATATTTAATAGGAAAAATGCATTTAATACTGTTTCGACTAAGAATAACAAATAAAATGGAAAATCTTAAATAGGTTCAGATGCATTAAAGTCATCTTATGTCAGTGATCAGCTTCTGTATAACCAGACCATTCCCAACTGTAGCTTAAATTGAAAAAGCATTTTAGTGGTAAACTGATGACTCATTAACTACCATTATTTTAAATGGAACCACTCAGGCCGTTTACACTAAAACACCAACCCTGACTTGGGTAGATAAGATACGTGAGAAACATGCAACACCTAGAAGTATTAGCAGTATGACTTTCTGGACAAGTACCACTTGTTGACAAATTGACGGATTTATTTGAGAAAACATCTTTTATATGAACGCTTATTCAATAAACTTTATTGAAGTGATTTCCTTGCTTGTCGCAAATCATTCTATGTGGTGACGGAAATATTTTTGATCAGCAGAAACAAAAGGTGATTATTCAGATAATAGAAAGATGTAATTTGCTGACAGGTAACCGGAATGGGATGCCGAACCTCTATTACTATTCAGTGATAAGTCCACATTTATTATTTTATCTTACAAAGATGCAACAGCTCGTCATATTCAGTGACTGTAGCATCTCTCACTGCCCCCCCCCCCCCAATGATAGGAAAAGAAGCCTAACAGCAGTTTTTAGTTTAATATATTCCTCATCAGTCAATACTAGCAATCAGAAACCTTGTGTTCATTGTTCTTGAAAACCCAATATTGACACACATGATAAATACAAGACAATACCGGAGATAACGTTTTAACTCTTCTATAGTACTATTTAAAAGCAATAGACAGATGGTGCTTTAGTCTCACGATCGATGATGAATAAAGAAAGCAATGAATATAAGATTTATATATACAAGTGAACTCAAACTACTAGAATTCAGGTGATCTATATCACCTTATTGTTCACTATCATATGTCGTGTCAACGGACATTCGTGTATCACATGTTATGATTTAACAAGGTTTTACAAAAAACTGTATTGTACTAGGCAAGTCATGTTAAATGAGTGGCAATACTGATGGGCAAATATTTCCTCGAATTTCATGCGATATTGCTACTTTGTAGGGAAAGTGATTGTCATGTACCAAAGCACTCTGAAGCAGCAAATGTCATTAGACGCTAAAGTACTAAGAAGTATCTTGATATCTTAGCTTTATCTTAAATTGACTACACTCTAAAAATATGAACCTTCAAAAATGTTGTTCCTGTGTTACCTGAAGGTTCCGGTTCCACATTTTTCCTAAAAAAGGCCATAATGTTCTACACTAGTTAAAAACAGTCACTCCGTACTTCTTTGCTTACAATTAGATGTGTAACGCAACATAAAAGGAAATAGTAGTGTCATTCAACCTTTTTTAAATGATGGATGCTTCTCTTTTTGGAGAGAAATTAACTTTCATTGAATTACTACTCACTTCAGTCCCGCTTTTATTTGATTGAAAAATACCCTTGTGCGCAGTATTCTAGGTGCTTTGGGGATTGTCGGCAAACCTCGACAGTTGGGGAGTTCCATTGTCATTATTTCAGCTTTTACATCCACTTGTTTAACCACTATACTTGGCCTTCGTGTATTTTGTGAATTTTCCATTTTGGATGTTTGATTTTTGCCAGATACCTTTGAAAAGTTACGATTTATGTTGGAACTGCTGCTCACTGGCGAATCATTCCATTTTTAGGATTTTGTGTATCGGAATTAAGTTTCTCCAATGCTTGTGGAAGTGAACTACTGAATTTCATTCGATATTGTTGACTGAGATCGGAGAAAATAATTGGATTAGGCTTTGTACACTCTTTAGCATCAGTGTTCATTACCAGAGGTTGAAATGTTTTAGCTTTGCAATAATCATGATTGTTAGTTTCTCTTGAAAAATAAACCATTTCATCCTTGTTCTGAAAAAGAAGTTATTTACAGATACATTTCAACCAGTTAGTAATAATGAAACAACTTAATCAAACCAATCTTATCTTCTACAAATTTCTCAGTTACTTTTGTACAACTCTTGTCTTATATAAATGTCTAACAGATTGCTAAAACTGACAGTTACCTAATAAAATATGGGACTAAGAGGATATGGTGACTAATATTGTGACTGATCAGTTTCTTTTTCATGCAACTCTAACCTCTGTACATTTTCTACTTCAGTTGAAAACCGAGTTTACACTTGATTTTTATGTGTGAACAGTTCAAATAACCCATACTGTCAAATCAGGTGCAGAATGTTACATTCGTAATCAGGTTTACAATCGATGACTTCATGCATTCATGTAATGTTACAGTCTGATCATGTTTACTCTATTATCAATCTATTTCTGTTCTTATGAATATTAGTGAGTCACAGTGACATTGGCTTTTGTCATCTAGTCTATTTAAGACACATAATACATACTGCAGTCGCTGCACGATTGCAACCCTATGAATAACTTGATCCCTTTTTCCAAAGGTGTACTTTATAAGGGTAACATTCTCTTTGTGTCCTTTAAAAAACACTACCAGTCCCATGGCACAATATAATCTATTTTCTTACTCTCTTCTGAGCTAAGTAACTATATCGCTTATCTGTAGTACTGGTTTCAAACACAACTCTCATCTGGTAATGGCTGAATATCCCATTTTTGCCACAAATGATAATATCCAACTAATGTTTATCCAGTCTGTAGTACTGGTTCCGAGGTACTATCAGCTGTCAAATTTTCGGGGTTAATACAGCCTCCTATGTAATCAAGTGGTCTATAAACCAACGTACTTCGCTTTCTTTTGTTAAGATTAGGTATTGGTGTAAACATTCTTCAAACCATGACCCCTCATTCGAAGTCTGTTTGCCAGAGTCACTCATAATTTTCTTCTCATCTTCATGAAGTTGGTCAATGCATTGAGCAGTAATAGTCAGTCATTGGTTTGCTCAATTAGAAGCTGTATGGTTATAGTGATATATCAAATCAATTTTCTCACTTTTTCAAATTGGGAAACATTTTTACGCTTATTGGAATAAGGAATTTGCAATTCTATAAGCTCCTCTAATTTCCACGTCATAGCACGAACCCTGTAACTTCAGTGAGTCAAAACGCAGGCAAACACTGAGACTACGCTAAAACAAACGTTATTTTTCCATTTGGTATCACTTATGTGCATTGGGTCAAACGGGAGATATCACTAGAGCATTTAATCCCAGAGAGTTTAGAATTGATAAAATCACCTTCTTTAGTTGATGTAGGATAAAACTGAACAGAAGTGGTGACAGTTTAGATCACTGAGGAATAGCTCAAGTTACTATGAACTGATGACCATGACGGAGAATAAAGAGGCATCAGTAATATAATAAACTAGTTAAGTTCTTATTGATTTCAGATACTGATGAAAGTCCTTCCTACAAACACATCTGTATGCTTTTTTCAGTTCGTGTAGTAAAGATAGTAAGAGGAGTGGGAATACATCCCTGTATTCAAAAATTACTAAGAGTAAAACCCTATCACCGCATGACTAGCAAACTTCGAAACTAGTCTGATTTTCTTATATTCGACATTTCCTAGACCAGGCAACTATCAAATGATAACGGACTTAAAGATTTCTGAATCTATTTTAACCAAGCTCACTCCTTTGTTGTTTTCGCCGAAAATTTTTGTTATTCCTTATTTAGTGCAGCAGTTAGTCTACAGCAATACTGATTTTTTAGTTAGTGATTCAGTCAGTTTTACTACTCGCTGTAGATAACTATCGCCAACACAGCCTTTCTGATTTCAATAACGATCAGATGGTCCATTTTTATGCTTATGTGTTTTTGCTGGATGACAAGCAGTCAGTTGACTGAGAAACTATTGGGCTATACCTAAGAACTTTCACAACTACCTGTTCACGCAGTTTGCTATCCAACAGAGCAACTCGGTAGCAGTCTCAGAATCTGCTTCCTCTTCTCAAAATCTCTTTTAAGCACAGATTAGTACCTTCTGACTGCTACTTAGTACCAGTACTTTTCTTGTCTGTCTAGGCCCTACCATCCCGGATTATTTTTGATTATCGCTCATATTTCAAGTTAGTTTTTTCTTAGCTGCCTATTCTTCCAATTGAGCTTGTAACTTATCTAGATTTCTTTCCTTACCCGTCGTCTTGGATAAACTTACGGATAATGGGTAAATCTATACGCGATGTTATTTTCAAGTACCCAGCTCCCTTTCAAAATGAACTGAGTACTACGTCTGAATGTATTTGCTTACAGATTATTGTCATATTCCGATAAATGTACCGAAGTTTACTCTGAAACAAAAACCTATTTTACCCACTTTCGTAACGAGTATAGGCAAATTGTCTGATTTCTTAGCATGATGTTCCTGGTAGCAAAACAAACTTTCACCAAAAGGAAACATGAATAGAGCCTACAGAAGTTGTCTTTCATTTAACGTATACAACGACAGTTAGGTAAAACGTAATTACCATTTGTTCACAGCTACGTTTAGAATACTAGACGTGGGACGCAGTGATGTTCTTCCTATAGCTAAAGTTTTGCACTGATGTGGAACATGTTGCAGCACAACAAGGTCAAGGAAGATTGTCAGTCGTCTGGCGATTCAAGTTGTGAAGGTACTTCTGAAATACGTTCTTCTATTTCAACTAGTGGAATTACTGACTTTTGTAATGTTAGTTGTGCGGTTTTCTTCCTAGGGTATAAGTACAAGATTTAGACATGAGTCATCTTTCAAACAATACAGTCTGTCATCAGTTGTATCAATGTCGAAAACTATGAGCAGCGCTTGTTTTGTCTCCAAACTTTATGGTACAATCGCGACTGTAGGCAAACAATCCCCGCCCATAAAATCCTCACAAAGGATGAAAAAGTAAACAAAATATAATCTGACAAAAAATGCATCGGTGGGATCATACACTTCTACTATACTGGCCACTTAAGTTAGTGTGAATGATAATTTTTAAACCCTTCATAAGTCCTGAAAACAGGATCTGAGCTAAAGTGTCTGTTAAACGATTGTTCTTCCTTGTTTGTGTTCTAAACAACTGATATCACCACTGGCTGAAATCTATTTTTACTTGGTATGGTGTCATGTGTTTCCAAAATCTTTCAATCCTTCAAAACGTCAGACGTTTTCACTATCATTCCGAAACAACTGTTGCTATCGCAGCTAAAGATCTCGAAACTGGTGGTGGAAATACTGGAAACTTATGTAACAGGTCACGAAGATTTATCACAGTGACATGCAAGGGTCAAGCCAATAGCCACAGCTAGATCTTTAATAAATATTCAAAAAATACTTGTGATCCATCCCGTTGAAAATCAGGTTGAAGACATATGCTTAATTATTTTGCGAGTGGTTTGAAAGTTTGGAGTTGCAGGGTACAGTTTCAAGCAAGGTTTCAGGAGAGTAGGGCTGGTATTTTGCCACATAAGTTGTCAACGAATTTTATAGAGTACAAAACGTTAAGCAAGATATGTGGGCAACTTTCTTAATGAGTAGATCTTATTATTGCTTATCTAGTTTTGAGTAGTATGCCTTCCTGATGTTTTGTATTTAACTTCAGTGAGAATAACCGTATTTGTGCTACTTATTCACTTGAAAGGATATCTGCTTTGGTCTGTTGGTCATGCGTTCTATTAAGTAGGGTCTCTTTTTAGACGGGTTTTATTCTTCAATATTTTTGAAGACAGATAACAGAAGGCAGTAATACAAAAGAGAATAAATGGATTATTAGGCTTCTTGTTTCTAATATCAGATTTTTAAGCGAAAGGTAATATAAGGAAGGAATGATAGTTAGCGGAGAAGTTGGAGACATGCATTTCTTCTTATTTGGTAGTATTGCTTCAAATACTAGTCAACTGAAGTATATGCTCTACTGATATTACTTCTGCTTCTGTTAGCAGTGCTAAACATCCCGCAAGCTGCTTCGTCTACAACACCTTTGTTCAGTTTTGGTTACAGTCCTGTTGTCTGCTCAACAGCTGTTCTTCTGACTTAGAAGAAAAAGATGTGGAGCGATTTTAGTTTAGTTAGATAAGTACGATCAGCAAAATCGACTATATGTAAGTTAGAACTAGCAACGACTTTTGGCTGCAATCGTTTCAATTAATCAATCTCAGAATAAGTGTAAAGGTATATTTGTTCCTTGAAATCCTTATTTTCCTCTTGAATAGACTACATTCGAATGGGAAATTATAAAGTAGGTTTGTATTTCTCTTCTAGCATATGATTAATGCTCCTGCTTTGCAAAGTAATTTCGAAGTATTTATTTAAAACATAAATATTTACTAGTAGTTCCTTTATATTGGCATCATTTTTCACTGATAGACGGCTATGATAATGCATAGGTATAAAGCTATCAACTACAACAGTAACTGATTAAACAGTTATTGAAGTGTAAATTCTTTGACAGATGAGCTAAGTTAAGAAAGATTAAACTCATAAATCGTGGTGCGCTTTTGGCCGGAGTAGTACTGCTGCTAAAACCCATAACTTCTAACTGTCATCTTCTTAGTCGATATTGCTGCGGTTTAGGCTCAAAAAACATCGAAACAGCCAGAGATGATTGTCTGATTCGTTACATGAGTCACAGTATTTATTTGATTTTGCCTGTCAAAAGTGACTTAGAACTGATAAACTTAACCCATATATTGAAGATATGTGCACAAGTTCATACCTTCTTGAGAAACCTGTTTGATAAAAATGCTGACCTATGATCGGCTGCGCGCAACAATTACTACAGGATGAAACATAGTTTTTTGAATACGTTCATCCCTTAAAAATACAGAGTACCTCGCAAAAAAAGTATCATAAGAGAGTAAGAGAGATAAAAATTAATTTCGTCGCTTTTGTATGGTGGTTTTTGCCTTCAGTGATTAACTCCTGGAACCAACTTCCACAAAAGATGGTATTTGAACCATAGATCGAATCATATAAGAGAGGACTATACAAGTACATTTCCCTACTTACAAACAATCAACACATGACCACGTGCTTCTATCTTCAAGATGAGAAACCCATACTGGATCTTGAAAATGTATTTCCTACCACTATTTTATTTTGGTCAGATGGTAATTGACGTGTGACAGGCATGGAATAATGACAATAATAGGTACCGGTACCGTTTGCATTCCAACTTTAGGTCAGTTTCTGATATCGTAAACTTGGCGGTCACATCAGCTATGAAACCAGGATGACAAATGTGGTCGGAAGTATTATGTATATGTTACGTATATATATGAGTCTAGTTCGTTCTCTGTCGTATGCATAAAAAATAGTGCCAGACTTGAGATATAATTAGATTATTTTACTTACTTTCTTAGGAATTTTACACTTCGCTTGGAAAACAGAAGTTCGCTTTATGTCATCATGATTATTTTGAGAAATCCCGAGATTTCTGCTGGCAGTTTCATCATAGGCGGAGAGCAAAGAGTAAAAATCAGCAGCCCTAAACGATGTTCGGTAGCCCGGTTCCTTATCATACACATTAATCATTATCGAAGTGAAGACGAAAGCATATAACCATAGTTAAAAGCATTCACAACGACTTCACTGGTATAAACAAAGTGGTGTCCAATGTGTGATAACTGTTTTACTGACTTGTATGAATCGTTAGGTTTATTCAAGCTCATTTTTACTTATTTGTAAGCATATCCGGATCTAAGGTTATCTTGGAAGCAGTAGAGCCGGTCACTTCCTTGAGTTATCCCACGTAAACATAAAAGGTAGTTGGGTGTGGTTTAAAATTGTGCATGATTTGACCTGAGAGTGTAATACAAATGAGGCTTTCAGGTCTCATGTGACGAGTAAGTTGTGTAGATTGGGTGAAGGATGGCACCTGACCACCACTACAAAACCATGCAGTTTTTTATGGAAATGTAGCGTCACACACTTCCCCAAAATTAATAGCCTAGGGTTTGACGACTTTCGAAATTGATGCTGACCTTGGTAGTTCAACTGAACTCGCTAAGCTGAAGGCACCCAGTCACGCATCCCCGCCATTTGGCACGCTGTCGTGTTACGTTGCACTGCTCGTATTCCACTCTCTAGCCAGTTAGTTGGAACGTATCGGTATCTTGGCACAACCATCCAAATATACTATTCCAACCGACTACGCTATCGTGATCTTCCTTGTTCTCGTACTCGTGTGTATAATAACGAGTCCGAATAATTAGTGATTGGTCTTTGTGTCTGGCAAGTCCATACCAGGACATATCCTAAAGAAGGATGGCGGTGGGAACCCTGTCCAACTTCCAAAGTATATAGGGCAAGCATAGGGAACTAGCAGTTTTCGAGTTCCCACTTTAAGATGTTGAGTTACGGTTCTTTTTATTTAGTTATACTTCTTACGTGGTCACAGAAGCTTTTACGTTTTTCCTGCTCATAGTTTTGGAGGTAGTGATTACCTATTTAGAGTTATTTTTCCTGCAAATCGTAGCTTGTTTTGCTCAGTGAGACAACGTGGTTGCTGACAGGATCAATTAACGTTTCGCAATTCCAGCTTTTGTAAGCACTTGGAGATGAGTATTAGGTGTTACTTAAAAAGTTATCAACATGGACTAGGGAGAAAATGAGAGGAAGGGGAGTGAAAAGTAGTTGTCGTAAAATGGGTAATAGCGGCAATACTCTGGAGAAGGGATGCATCTCTTTGCTGATACTAGGGTTAGGGAATACCAAGGTTTGACGGGCATACCCTCACCCCTCCCCCCACCCCTACGTATGTGTCCAGTAGTCAGATTTGCCGTTTGAGGACAGGAGGCTCGCAGCCTATATTAATCCTTTTCCAGCAAATTTCTGTTCTTGTCTGATCCCCTTTTGAACGAGTCAATTGATGACGCGGACACCACTTCCTCTGGAATTCAGCTCTAGTCGTTGATTACTCGACGCGAGAACCAGTACTGCACGAAACTGTTGGTTCCCTGCATTTGTAGTCTCCTACTATATCTTTTGAGGTGCTCCAACCTAGTGGCAAGGAAAAGAAAAGATAGACCAAATACGAAATCACTTCTTAGAATCCTGTACTGCATGATCAGGTCTCCCATCTGTCGGCGATAGAACAAAGTGGAGAGGTTCAGATCCTTAAGCCGGTCTTCACAGTTGAGGCCAGCTATCGCAGCGATCATACGGGTGGCTGCCCTTTGGACTCTTTCCAGAAGGTCTGGGCCACCTTTCTGACAAGGATTAGCCACCTGTGTACATTTTTCTGATTATGACCTAACTACGGATGTGTGTAAGGTAATGGACATGTCACCACTCATTTTCGTCAACGTTCTACGTAATGCCCAGAGAGTCCTAAAACTCCGAGCTGCTACCAACTGACAGTGAGCCGTGGTTTTCGGGTCATAACTAACCGTGACTCCCAGGTCATCGTGGGTCAGTACTGACGGTAAAGGAGTCCCGTCAATATTGTAGGTCGTTGCTGTGTGCATGCCTCAAGTACATGCTCACACATTTACATGCACCGATAGGCATCAGCCACTTCTCTGACCAGGTAAACAAGCTGCTCAGGTCTGCTTGAAGCCCACCTCCTTCCTCATGGTTCCTAATTTCCGACCAGATCTTTACATTATCAGCACAGGGAACCATACGGGGATTTTGTGATATTTCGCAGCTCGTTTACGCATAGGGGAGACAGCGGAGGGTCCAGGACTGTTACTTACGGTGCTGCACTCCCTACCGACTTCCAGGTGAAGAGTTGAGAATTTATCCTAACTCTCTGTCCCCTATCAACAAGAAAGTCTCTTATTCATGCAGGCAGACTGCAGTGATTCCAAAACTACAATTTCCCGAGCAACCTGGAATGAGGTACTTTGCTGAACCCCTTACCAAGGTCAATGAAAATGACATCTACGAGTATACTATCATCTTCAGACTTAACCCAGCTTTCCTTGACTGCAAGGAATCCGCGCTCTCTAGGAAGATTATTATGGCTTTCTTCACTACTGTTTCCAGGATTTTCCCAGCAGCGGTAGTAAAACTTTTCCGTCTGTCATTTGGTGGGAGCTGCCAAGAACCCGCCTTGTGGATAGGCGTTACCATGGCATACTTCCAGTCATGGAGGAGTGTGCCTTCACTGAAAGACAGTCCGAATACAGTGGGCCAACTACACAGAGTGCGAGCTGTCTGAGTAGCCTTGGGTGCAGCCCACCCGGCCCCGTTGGTTTTTCCACGTCGAGATTACTTAATATCCAAAATACACCACTGCAGTCGATGTTCACGGAGTTTATTGTATTGGATGTCAATGCTTCTAACGTTGGATTAATGTCCACAGAAGATTCCTGCGTGAAGACCTCAGCAAAATATCCAGCGGTGGCTTCCGCTTTTTCCCCACTGTCCTCAAACAAGCAGTCAGTCTCTCGGTTCCATTGGTTAGGGCGGGTATACCACGACATATCTTATTTCTTCAGTTCGTGTGGGATGTTGCCATGCAGCCTGGGCAAGACGTGTCTGAAAGCATATTTGAGATCGGCCGGTAGCAGCTACACATTGTCGCGGGCTTCTTTGTAACGCTTCGCAACCTCAGGAGTACAGAGGTGGGTGGCAAGACTCCAACACTTTTTCTTAGGTCGTAGCTAGGTTCAGATTTAATGGTTTATCCACGGAGGGGTGCTTCTGTCCCCTCGAGACAGTCTACGTAGTTAACGGCTGGGTCACTGTTGCACATAACTTTTCGGAGGGGCTCCAAGCGCCCCCAACTTGAGCTTCTGAATTGACTATCCGGTCCTCCGAAGAGGCTTCTAGATCAGCAGCCCCCATATTCTCTTTCCATAGGTTGGGTGTAGCTGGGGCACCGGCCCAGTGCAAGACGTCTGCTGTGAATCCGAAGGTGATCACGGTGCGATCAATTCTGCCAAAGGGTGCTAGGTGTCGGATGAAGCACACATCATCTGTATGTAAGAATACCAAGTCTAGGATTGATGGAGTATACTGATGATTATATCCGGTTGGTGTCCTAATGCTCTGTAGGAGGGCTAAGGAAATTGATGTTTTCACTGACCGGTGGTCAAACGAATTACGTGGTGCCTTGGCGTTTGCCTATTTCAGCCAAACTATGGTGCTTTAAAGTTTCCTACAACTAGACATCGGCATTCAGCTGTTCATAGGATCGGCATATTCAGGAGGAAGTCTACTGACACACATTCAGGGCTTCGATGTATTGTGATTATGTTGACATCTCGCCCCTCTCACTTTGGTCGGCAGCACAGCATTTCGCATGTCCCACTTTTGTGTTCAACTGTTTCCATGGCTTTCACAGCGTAGGGGATGACACAACCACCTTTACTTGCAAACCCGTCACTTCTAAAAGGAACGGATCCTCTCGTGTTTCACAGTCACTGATCCAAGAAAGGAGTCAAGTTTCTGAGATAGCTATGATGTCAGGGCTTTCGTTGCTTCTCACATTACTAAGCCCAGTCCACTTGTTTACAAAACTACGTGCGTTTGTGTACAAGACAATGAAACTGCTCAAATGGGTTCCCGTCCTATCCGCAGAGGCTTCAGGATCATTTTCTGCCAAAACCCAACTACACAAACACCCACTACTTTCAGATCTTGTTTTCCTGCTGCCAGTCTGGATCTTAGTTATGCTTCCGCTTCTCGTTTTTTGATTCGACCAGCAAGAGCCAGATTCTACCGCACGAACACCCTGGATGCTAAAAGTCTGTGAGCATTCTTCAGAACCTGATTTCTCTCATCTACTGACTTGAACACAAAGTTAGGTGGTTAAAACCTGTCTTCAGTAATGACTGTCTACTGCTTTTCAACTCTACATATCTTGGGTGGGGTGATTCCTGGCATGTTTTCTGGTTAAAGCTGGTTCATCAAGCTTTTTACCTCTCCCATGTCATGTTCGGAACGTTAACGTGGCTCGGAGTCCCTACTTTCTTCCACCCTGTGGAAGATTACGGGCCTCTCAAGCAGCTCTACTTTGTCTTTGCCACGCAGAGTGATAATAGCTGATTCGTTAACCGTTATTATTATTAATAATTTATCTCTGAATTTACAGATGCATATCATTTTCACAAGGAAGTTTTAGGACCTGTTCGAATGTGAACTTGCCAGACACAAAGACCAATCACTAATTATTCGGACTCGTTATTATACACACGAGTACGAGAACAAGGAAGATCACGATAGCGTAGTCGGTTGGAATAGTATATTTGGATGGTTGTGCCAAGATACCGATACGTTCCAACTAACTGGCTAGAGAGTGGAATACGAGCAGTGCAACGTAACACGACAGCGTGCCAAATGGCGGGGATGCGTGACTGGGTGCCTTCAGCTTAGCGAGTTCAGTTGAACTACCAAGGTCAGCATCAATTTCGAAAGTCGTCAAACCCTAGGCTATTATTTTGGGGAAGTGTGTGGCGCTACAGATCACTCCTCCCTAGTGGGTTCGTGAGGACCCTAAGACGATACCAGCCGGAAGTATAAACCCAGTGGTTTCTCTACCGGTAAAACTCTTCCAATGGGCTCACTGCGTGAAGTGGCCCCTG